ATTTTTCTTCAAATATTAACGTCTAACACAAAATTTGAGCTTACTGTAACAATCTCCTTTAAAAGTTAAAGAAAATGACATCAATTCTTTCTTTTTCCTCGTTCCTGCAAAATAACAAAACAATGTGTTAAAATTTAGCCTTCATCTTTCGGGGTAAGCAAATTAGTCTCAACACAACTGGAGTGACACATGGTGAAATCTCATGTCACGCAAGGTGTGCATGTTTAATTGAGTTAGTAACGTTTTTATATTGTTGTCTGGACTGCTTTCATTTCAGGAGGAGAATGCTTTAGAGCCACCGCAGTCGGTGCAAAGGGGCGTTACGGAGCTTGTCGAAGCAGCATTGACACCCCGAAACCTGTGCATGATGGATCCAACATGGCATCCCTGGTTTTGAGTATGTGGTGAATGTAGTAGCTGTACATTTTGGTCAATGGCAGGCGTATCGGCACTTCCACCCTCTTCCGGTGGGACGGCGAGGCAGCTTTTTTTTCTTCTAGGCTGTAAATATTGTGTACGCATGTATATAATATATTGGTGGGCCTTTTGATATTTAATTCATAGAGAAATTAATTAGAGTCATTTTTAATGTGCAATATAATCCGCGAACTTTTTTTTCTTTGTGTCTCTAAAGCTCTTCCTCCTTATCGTTTCAAGAAAAAAAAAAAATTTCTACATTTAACTATATATATATATATTCGCATAAATGGACACTTGGTGTAAAATTTTGCACATACTTTCAGTATCACCTTAATTTCGCACATTAGTGATGTTTTTTAGTAATTTATTTTTCAAACAACAATTTGTTTAAATTTGTTTAAAGTGTAATTTAAAATTTACAGATTTGATATTTTCGGAACAAATAAATGAAAATAAGAAATAATTTTGGACTAACAGATTTAGATTTAATTCTCGGAAAATAAGGAAAAAGAAGTTGAATGTTATCCTTTTTATTGGGTAAAAAAAAAAGGTTCAATCACTTAATTTGTGATTCAGCGTCAACATTCTGATCAAGTATAGATTTCGCTATCCACCACGGAGAAAACCCAATCCCAGAACAATGCGTCAATCAACAAAGACAGTTAACAATGAAATCACCATCACGCACACGCACACACTATTCTTCTTCTCCTTCTTCTTCTGCCATGGAAAAGCGCAAATGTTTTCCTTTTGGTGTCGGCCAGCCTTTCAACTGCAAGAAATCTCCAGATTCCTCATTCTCTTCTTCTACCTCCTCTTCTACTAATTCATCGTCACTGTCGTAAACAAATCTTGTGTGCTTTCCAGCAAATTCAGCCATTATCTTCTCTCTCACAGTCATCTTGTTCATATCTTCACACAGCTTGTCAAGCAATCCATTATCATCATCTACTTCTCCTCCATTGTCTTCATCTTTTTCTTCCGGCTCGTAGTTTTCTTCAATGTCTTCTTCTTCTTCTTCTTCTTCATCATCATTGACACTTGCATTGACCTGAATAGACCAAATGGAAGCATCATCATCATCTGGGGTTATCTTCTCTTTCTCCCCGCTTTCTCCTGCTATCATTCCCTCGTAACTCAGCACAGAGGAGCATCCCGATGAATTATCGGATTGCTCTGATGATTTCTCAGAGAAATCAAGCAGCAGAGAACGAGTAATCCCCATATCATTTTTTCCATCAAACATTTCATCACTCTCCGCCTGCAATCATTTGATTATATGATTAATGAATGGTTTGATTTTCTGGACTCGGACTGCACATAAACAAGAAGAAATCAAACCTGAGATATGACTTCCTCAACAACCGGAGAAGCAACCTCAATCGCTTCCAGATTGTGTACTTGCGGCGTGTTTGATGGAGTTGGCGCCAGAAGTCCCATAGGAGAATTGGCAAAACCTTGAAGGTGAGGAAATCGACGAGTCTTGTCCAATGAAAGCTTGGAAAACTCAGCTTCCTCTTCCACTTTTTGCAAAAGAGTCTTTACTTGACCTCTGAGAAGTGCCTCACCAGACCCAGGTGTCTTCTTGGCTCTGCTGTTCCGCAACTTGGCAATGGCGGATGATGGAGTTTCCAAGCTCCCCATTGCCAGCCCAACGATGGGCGAGTCATTTGTTATATCTATAAGCGCAGATCGATCTTGTTGCTGTTTAGTATTTCTTTGTCTTGCCGAAAGGCCCTGCCCAGATTCCTCAATCTTTCCTGCAAAATCAGTCAAAACCCTTAACAACCAAAAGAAAATCAATCTTGATCTTCAACGAGAACAAGAAGGTAAAGGGAACCGACTTGCCAGGATCGCAAAAAAGAAAAGAAAGAAAAGATTTTTCTTCAATCTCGCAGAAATTTCATAGATTCAGACCCATTTCTGTCATCGAGAGAAAGATCACTCACTTGACATGGGAATATTGTTGTTGCAGTTGCTGTTGCAGTCTAGGTTATTCACAGTAGCCAGAGTCTGCGACCTTGTTACTCTTCTTGTTGAGGACGGAGTCTCCATTGAAGAATCTGGATCACAGAGATAGAAGCTGATCTTTAATGGCGGAGAAGGATTGCAGAGAAATCAACGAGACGGAGGATGCAGAAGAAGGAGAAGATAGAGAAAGTAGATGTTCGCTGGGATGAGTTTGGAGGGTTTATAAAGAGAGAGATTAGCCAAATTAAACGGTGAAAGTTACCGTTAGAGCCTTTGCTGGCACAGATTCACAAAACGCGCTTGCAAAAACTAGCCGTTGAGAGGATTTTGTTTTGAATATTTATTTCCTCCGGCTACTGTTTAACAGTTCGCTACTTTGCCCAATTGACGGGCTTAAAATTTAATTACTAGTATTAGTATTTGACTCTTTTTTTTTTTTTTTCCAATTTATGTAAATTAGGAATTTGACTTGAATTTTTTTTTATAAAAAAATTCATCTGATTTTACCAACATTTATGTAAATATTTTTTTTTTAAATTTCTGCAAATTAGGAATTTAACGTTACAAAAATAATTATAATAATTCATTTGATTTTACCAATATATATATATAGATAGTAGTCGGGTACCATACAATGCATCTGTAAATCTGTACTCGAGGCTTTAGTGCTTTACCTTAATTATTGGAAAGATTTTCTGCCCCATATGATACTTTTCTATTTCTCTTAATTGACAATATATATGTATATGGTAGTAGGTGTGTCTGTATATGCATATATGTATGTATATATGAATGTATATGGTATGTTCGTGAAATATTTGGTAAGTCTATATGCAAAACACGATTGAAATTATTTACATATATAGAATTGTGAATCATATATTTCACGTTTTGCTTTCCATCATGTTGCAAATTCAAATATATTTCCAAGTTTAAAACCAAAAAAAAAAAAAAAGTCACAAGGAGAATTTTTTGGGATAATTTATGTGATCTCCTTTAATATATACATATACATATATATATATATATATTCCCTCAAATTAATTATTTCTAGAATAAAAAGAATTATTTCATTACTAATCCATATTATATATTTTTGAAACATATTTATATTTATATATTTAAAATTTTCATTTATCTTTAACATATTACGTAGTTTAGTATTTATATTTATAAATGTTAATATCAGATATCATTAGATCAAACCCAATATCTCATCTATGAGTCCATAGTGTCATCTATTTAGATTATGTTACGAGAAATTTTCAAAATTAGTTCAGATTTATTATATTTTTAGATTTTAATTATTTACTACATATAAATCAATTGTAATAGAATTAAACATGCATATACATATATTGTTGTATACATATATATATATATATTAATATATATATCACACTAACCAAATATTACCAACTTATTATTATTTTCCCGTAAAAAAGCATGAAATTGAACGAAACAAGAGAGACTGTATTGAATTAATTTCCTGCTCACTGGAAACTTTTTCATTTTACATTTCCCCGAAAGAAATAATTAATCACCTTCCAATATATATAGATATATATATATATAGGTATTTGTATAGATTAGTTCAGGGACATTTATGAACGCCTTCGTGGGTTGTAAGGTTAGCATAACAATGACAAGCGTCAAGGTTGCCAGATGTGCCCGGAGGAACACAACTACACTTCTTACAGCAACTCCCACATGCCCTTTTACACAGATTCGGCCTCTTTGTTTCCGAGCACCTTCTCCCACACTCCGCTCCACAATCTATTATACGTATATATCTTTACCAATCAGTATATACATACATACACATTATATATATATATATACGTAGATCATGTACCTATGGGGTGGGGTAAGGGGCTCGGTGTTGGTGCTCCAACACTGTAGTTCATCGTCTCAGTACTGATCTGTAAACCATGCAAATATATAGAAATGTTAAAGTAATCAAGAAATGTTGATTATGTAATATATAAAGTAGATATATATGTATATATGATTATAAAGATTACCAAATATTGTTGATCATCAGCTTCACTTCCATGGAGAAGCAGAAGAGAGAAAAGAAGTACCAGCAAAGCAGCAAGAGTGCTAGCCATGTGTGTGTGTGTGTGTTATGTATCTTCTATATGTGACTGTGACTGTGACTGTGACTGTGAAAGGAAAATATACATAGGTCGCTGTCTCTGTGTGTGTGCGTGTGTATATATACACAGAGACAGAAAGAAGAGGGAGATATTAGTAATGGAAAGTATAGAAGGAAGGTGCATTGTTGAGCAAGAACCAGGCTGTAAAAGGGTCTGCCATGTGCCAACTCCGAGCTTTTTTCATTTTGTAGGGGAGACAAACGTCAATCACTTCAATTATATTTGCCGTTAATAAATTCCGTCTGGTGTAAATATATTAGTAGAATTGGGATGATAAAATTAAATTAATTATTAAAAACTTTATTATATTTTTAAATTAAAGATTACAAAATACACTTTCACGGAACGGAACAGCGACGGTACCAACTTTAGCACAAACCAAACGAGTCGGTAGCACGTGCATGGTGGCTGTATATATGCCGGTAGCAGCTAGATGGAAATGGAATCACGTGGCTTGTCTTCTAATTAATTAGCCTTATAACCACAATTAACCACAAATTACATATTTTTATTTTTATAATAACAACCTTCCTTCAAAAATCACAAAAGCCTTTAATTAGTGTACATGGATTTTTTTAATGATACTTAAATTATCTTGGTACTAATTTGAAACAAATTGTTTATGTTAAAATTGAAATTAATTTCTTTATATGTTTCGTCAAAATTCAAAATCCATTTATATTTATGTTGGTAACTCTTGGGAATTTTATAACTGACCATCCATTAACATTGGAATTAATATTAAATTAAGGAAAATAAAATAATTAAGAGAGAAAATCAAGATCTGCATGTGTAGAATACATTAACGTGTCTCTTAAAATTAAAGAAACAAATATCTATCAACAAAGAGAAAAAGGTCGAGACAATCAATAAACAAACTATGTTATTAATTATTTTTTAATACAAAATTATATATTTTAATAATTAAATGATGCATTTAATAATATTATAATTTTTTAATTAAAATACATGAAATATACAAAACAATTCAAACCATATATTCATTTATAACTTTATAATATGAGGATTTTTACCTTAAAAGAAGAGGAATAAAATCAAATTGATGGGTTATTCTTGTAATTTTGTTGACCATTTAATGGGACCAAATTACTTTGCGTTTGGAATATGATGAATTAATAATGCAATATTAATTAATTATTTAATTTCTTTGAAATAATTACACATGTTTCCCCTTCATTTAGTTTTCTTTTTCGTGTCTGATAACGTAAGTATCATTTATTAACCTTTTAGGGTCTGTTTGGGAGAAGGGAAAAATGAGGGAAGAAGAGGACGAGATTTCTCCTTAAGAAATAATTGGAACATCATAAATTAATTTCTGAAGTAAAACACATGTTATAATTTAATGTAAAATATATTTAAATTGCTCAATTTTTTATTTTTTTAATAAAAAAAATTACACACACACACACATATATATAAATATATACCAGTGCTCGTGATGTCTTCTAGAAGAGAGATGGATTTGGGTAGCTGGGAAGAGTAGTTCTCCACGAGGCACGGGAAAGTGGTAGTTAGGGCGACCATTCTCCTGGCTTTTTATATATATTACGACTCCTCTAATTACACCTCATTAACAACCCGCCAATTTTCTCTTCCTTTTTTTCTCAGGAGACAAACACCAATTCAAAAGAATCAATCAAAAAACTGAACGTTTCTGTCAATATATCAACAATGGCTCCTGCGACGCTAACAGATCTGGCAGGTGAGAGTACACTGCAGGCGAGCTTTGTCCGCGACGAGGACGAGCGGCCCAAGGTGGCCTACGATGAATTTAGCGACGAAATCCCCGTGATTTCTCTTGCTGGCATTGATGATGATGGCACGAGGAGGGCGGAGATATGCGAAAAGATCGTAGCGGCATGCGAGGACTGGGGAATCTTCCAGGTTGTTGATCATGGCGTCGATGCTAAGCTCATCTCCGAAATGACTCGTCTTGCCTCTGAGTTCTTCGCTTTGCCTGCAGAGGAGAAGCTCCGGTTTGACATGTCCGGCGGAAAGAAGGGTGGCTTCATTGTCTCCAGT